CACTGGGGTACAGGGCTGTGGGGGTCCACTGGGGTACAGGGCTGCTGGGGATCCACAGGGGGTACAGGGCTGTGGGGGTCCGCTGGGGTACATGGTTGCAGGGGTCCACTAGGGTAAGGGCTTTGGGAGTCTGTTGGGGTACAGGGCTGTGGGGGTCCACTGGGGTACAGGGCTGTGGGGGTCTGCTGGGGTACAGGGCTACTGGGGGCCCGTTGGAATACAGGGCTGTGGGGGTCCGCTGGGGTACAGGGCTGTGGGGGTCCGCTGGGGTACAGGGCTGCGGGGGTCCACAGTACAAAGTTTTCTGCAGACAAAACCTTCCTCTCCCTACCTGGCCACCTCAGGTCCAAGCTCTTGTGGGGGATGTCCTGGGCCCCAGCCCCGGCCACAGGGCCCCGAGCCCCCATGAGTCTGAAGGAGCAGGGCCAGCTGGACCCACTGCCTCAGGCCAGGGCTGACATTAATCACCGGGGCTCAGCCTCCCTCAGAAGCTGCCTGTGCCAGGCCTCGCAAGCGACGCCCTCGCTCCGCCTGCCTTGTCTGCTCCTGGGGTTGGGCCCGGGGCGCCCAGGCGCCCAGCGAGCCTGCGCTTTGGGCCTCCATCCTGCTCCTCTGCCCTGACAGAGGCGGTGGCAGGGCTGAGTGGTGGGGCCACGTGCCGGGGGCCCGTAGCCAGGCAATGCCAATCTGCCCCTGCCTAGGGCGCTTCCTCCGCGGTAGCTCGCTGCAGAGGCGGCCTAAGGATAGGACGCCAGACTGCACGCCCTGCACCTCTTTGGGGCTCCCCACGCTTCTGAGGCCAGGCAAACGGCACCTGCTTTTCTGGGACGTGAAGAAGCAGCAGCCGCCAGCCAAAGCCTGAGTGTGGACGCCCTCCTCCGGGTTAGCCCTTGCCAGACAGAGCAGGAAGGTCTCCCGGTAGCTGGGCATGTGATGTACAGAGGGCAGGGCCTCTGGGGCTCCGCTTTGTGGGCTTGGGGGGCTCCTCCCAGACTCGCAGCTGTACACAATGGGGAGCCGTGGTGGTCACCAGGGGTGTGGGGATGCTATCGACTTTCTCACTCTTCATGGGAACAAAAGCGTTGCCCCACGGAAGGTTTAAAAAGAACGGGTTTGGGGGCCTTAGACAGGGCTGGGGACTCGGACAGCTCTCGGCAGCCCCCGAGGGGGTCCTGCCAGCAGCTGTCATTAGCAGCACCACCGGGGCCCGGGGCTCTGAGCTGAGGCCGGTTCCCCGAAGGCAGGCGCGTGGATGGTCTCTGCGGCGGGAGACTGGGACTGCAGCCTTGGCCCCTGAGACACCCCGCCCCGCCCCGTCAGCCCTTGTCAAAGCCCCACTATGGTACCAAATGTATTTTTAAATTCTTGTTGACCTGAAACGGGTTCTAAATAAATAGAGCAACTCAGGGTGGTTACCAGACACCATCTCCACCCAGCAGCTGCTTAATGGTCACAAGTTCGCTCCCACGGAGGGTGTCGGCTCTTTCTACGTCCCTACAGGAAGTTCCTCTAAAAGCCTGAGATGGGACCTGTCAGGTCCACACAGGACCCCAAGCTGTCTTGGAAGCCAGAACGCAGGATGTTGGCGTGTGAGCTGGGGTTTCGGGCGCTGGTGAGGGAGGGGGCTTACCAGCCTGTGCAAGAGGAATCAGAGCTAACACCCCCCCACCCCCCGTCCCCAACCCCATGCCTACCAGAGCGAAGCTGGGGACTATCCCCTCTCTCGGCTTCCTCTGGGCTGCACCCTCCCATCTGGGGCCCTCCAGAGACCCTGGCCCCACCCAAGCTTGACAGGGATGATGGCCTCCTGGGCTGGCTGTACTCACCTACTGACACAGTAGAACGCAATTAGTCTGAAGATGTCCTCAAACACAAGAACTGAGCCTTCCAGGTACAAAACTGAGGAGAGACGAGAAAGGCTGGGGTGAGTGCCTCTGTCAGGGGAGGGGCTGACTCTGCCGCCTGCCCCGGGTGGGCGCCTACTACAGTGCCTGGTCCACGGGCTGCACACGCCCACGCCCACGGGGCCATGGGAAGGGAGAGATGCACTTCCTGGTGTCACCCACCGAGATTCCAGGGGCCAGCTGTCAGAGGACATGTGTGGTCATCATTTTGGGAAAACAACACAGAAGCCTGAATGGTAAAAGCAGAATTAAACATTCACTTGTCAGGGTCACCTCAACTCAAGGTGAAGTCTGGGAGGGGCTCGAGGGGGAGCGTCTGTCCTCCAGAGGTCCACTGTCCAGGGGGGCTCAACTCGCTCTCCCAAGAGCCTATAAGAATCTCATTTGATTTGGCTGCATGGATAAGAGCGAGGGTGACCCCAAAATTCCCTGATAAGGAGGAGGGATGAAAGCATTTGCCTGAGATCCCATCCCAAGGGGTCTGGAGAAGCTGAGGGAGCCCCTGTGAACCTACAACCTCCCCAGGAGTCCTGACTCCGCCCCTGGGCCCCATGTGTCTCATGCCGGATGCTTCCTGCCTTGGTGGTCCCCACTGTGAGCTTTCTTAGGCATCGGAGAGGCCAAGAACATGGGCATATTGCACTTCAGTTCCAAGCTCCTGAGGTTCTTCTAGTGTCCCTGTGGCGGGATGCAGGACCAGAGCACAGGGTCAGCAGTGTGACCCTGGGTACACACTTCCCCTCTCGGCCCTCCCACCTGCACAGGGAACGACCCCCGTGCCGTCAGGGACAGTCCTGTGCCCAGTTCCCAAAGTCAAGGCTAGTTCCCTCCCGCTGCCCACCAGGATACGTGAACCCGCAGGCCCTATTCTAATGGCCTCATTTTAACGTCCATCCTGGGGTGAGGGACTTTGCTCAGCAGATGGCTTCAAGAGACCGGAGTCATTTATTCTGAACAGTTCACCTGATTTTATTTTTTTAAGTTTACATTTGTCATCTGTTTGTGGCAAAAAGAAACAAACATGGTTTCATACTAGAATAGATGTACTGACATCTATTAACATTAAAACACGAGTTTAAGGAAATTATGAAGGAGATTACAATACAGGAGGTGCTCAGCAGATGCCCACAGAAGGCCGGCAGATGCTAACCTTTGTCAATGAATGGGGGCACGGTGGGGCCCACAGCGCCACCTAGTGCCGGCATTGGTGCACCAACCTCTCTCCCTAAGCACGGACTGACTGGTCACCCCCACTTGGAGTCAAAGGCCCTCCCCGGCCAGGAGAGGTGGAGAGAGCACCCCTCTGTCAGAAGGGAACAGAAAGACGTCCCACGATGCCCAGAGGAAGCTGAGCTGTGCTTACCAGGCATGCTCCACCATCAGCAGCCCTCCCTGAAAACAGGCTCCTTTGCCCAACGCAGAAGAAAACTTTGACAAAGTCACCTCTGCCTCTCCCTCTGGCATGCTACATACGGCCCTCTTTTAGAGTTAGTTATGCGTGGCTTGTGGGGCCAGCTTTTGGGTGCAGGGACCAGGCTTATTCATTTTTTAGCCCAGAGACCAGTACGACGCTTTCCTAGAGGCCCAATAACCTGCTTACTGCTCAGACTGCAGATGGGTGCAAGCCACAGCCACAGCTGTTTGTTTCTCTGTAATCAGGAGCGCCCGCACTCCTGGCCCTGTCCCCACTTCTCCCCACCCTCGTGGCACCAGGGTCACGCAAGGCGCTCCCACAGGCAGGGCCAGGGCTCGGCCCACAGGGGAATCTCCCCCGGCACCCAGCCCAGCGCCTGGCATACAGTCTGGGAGAGCAGTGCCTGCCTGCTAAGTCTCTGTCTCAAGGAGACACCCCACGGAGCAGAGGCACCAAGGGCCTGGCCCTCTCATCAGGACGCATGGCTCCTCCCTCAGGGCGACCTTGGACTTGAGGAGGTCCCAACAGAGAGCCTCGTGCCATCCTGCAGCCGAGGTGACTATAAGGGGGTAAGGCAACAACCCCCGGTTGCTCTGAGTGGTGGTGGGGCGTGGGGGCTAGTTGCCAGGGTGCCCCAGGTCCTGTGCCACCCTGCCTGGTGGCTCGGGTGTGGGCGCCAGGCCCAACTGCCTGGGTGTGATGTGTGTCCACCACATGCGTGATTGCTTATTGTCTCCCTGCCCTGGTTTCCTCAGCTGTGTAACAGCGAGCACAAAGGACCCCTGTCGTGGGCTGAGAGTTGTGCACCTCCTGAATTGACACTGGAGTCCGGCCCCTGGTACACGTGACCATGGCCTCCCGATTTAGAAACTGGGTCTTTGGAGATGTAATCAAGATGAGGGTGGCTGGGTGGACCCTAAATACAACCACGGGACCGTATGAAAACACACAGAAAGACACGGAGCGCGGGTCCCTGGGGACGGGGAGAAGCCAAGGGTCACCCGGGACAGCCAGCACCTCAGCAGCCGGGCACGAACACATCTCCCCAGTGTCCAGAAGCAGCCAACGCTGCCACTCCTGGATTTCGGATTTCTGGCCTCCAGAGCCATGGACAGACACCTTTACCTGCCTTCACCCAGTGGGGTGCCTGGCGACAGCGGCCCCAGAAACTAGCCCCCAGCTTGGAGGCAGTGACACAGGTGGGTCCCTGGGGGCTGCCACGGCAGCGTGGCCGGCTCCGCCGGCGGTGCTGTGGCTAAGCTCCGGGCCCGAAGCAGTCCGGCATGGGGCAGCGTCAGGAGGAAGGCGTTCCTGCCCTTCCTCGGCCTCCTCTATGGCTCCTGACTGGAGACCTTCCCCGCGGGGCTGTCTTCCTCCCCTCCCACAGCCCTCATCTCCTCTCAGGCTAGCGCGGCTGTTGCCACAACTCAGAGAACGGGCCTTCGCTGTCCTGCCCTCAGGCCTCAGCTCCAGGTCCGCCTGGGGGTGGGGTCTCTCATGGGACGCTGCACACAGGTTGCTGCACAAACGCACAGGCACAGCTGGCAGCTGGAAGGCTAGGATGTGCCCGATGGCAGTGCCAGCCCCGGGTCCTCAGACCGGGTGGGCTCGCTGGGGGCAGGACGGGTCTGACCTTCCCGGCCACCCGCCCGGGGCCAGGCACCCAGGGAGGACTCTGCAAGGCCAGTGGGCTGGCCAGGCCTGCTGCTGTGGGACTCCAGGGCGGACCGGAGAGAAAGCTAGAGAATGAAAGTGCATAGTGGTCGCTCAGGGGACAGAAGAGAGGGGAGGACGCCGGCAGGCATGGCGTTTCTTTTTTATTGTGGTGGACTACCAAGAGCCCCGAGTGTAGCATGCCAGCCATTTTCAAGCATGTGATTCAGCGGAGTCAGGTACATTGATGTGGCATGACCCAGGGCTTCCTTTTTGGGGCGAGCAAGTGTTCTTAAGTCGATTGTGGTGAGGGCCCCACCAGCGTGGAGATGCTGAAAACCGCTCAGTCTGACCCTGTAAATGAGCAAATTGCATGAAACTGAATACCAGCTATCCATGCATCCCGTAAAGCTGCTAGTGAGAAGAGAAAGGCAGGCAGGCCGCTGAGAGTGGATTCAGATTCAGTGCACCGTGAGAGTCTGCCTGTGCTCCAAATGCTTCCTTGTCCCTTCACCACAGGCCCCTCCCATGCTGCCGCCTTCACAGTCACACCCCTCTCCCTTGCCCCACCCCCTGGTGTCCATCACTGTGATTACACCATCTCATGAATGTCATGTAACCGGATCACACAGCATATATACTCAGAGACTGATATTTCACTCAGCATGATTTCCTCTAGGGTTGACTGAGCTATTGCACAAATCACTACCCTGTTCTTTTCAGGGCTGAGTAGTATTCCACGATCCGAACACATGTTAGTTTGCTTGGCTATTCACTCCCTGGAGGACACTTGGCTCTTAGTTACTATGTGCAAAACTACCATGAATATTTGTGTACAGGATTCTTGATGAAAATGTTTTCTTTTCTCTGGGCTGAAAGCCCAAGAGTGCAACTGCCAGGTCATATGTTAAGTTCATCAATTGCCAAATGTACCACCAAAATACTTTGCAGAACAGTGACCCTATTTTATAATCCCGCTGGCGAAGCAGGAGTGAGTCGGCTTCTCCCGGTGCTACCATCCGGTGTTATCACCAGCTTTTCTTTCAGTCATTCCAGTAGGGGTGGGAAAGACTTCACTAGGATTTTCAGTTCCATTTTGGAAGGTGTGGAGCTTTGTTTCATGTGGTTATTTGCCCTCTGTCTATCCTCTGTGGTGGAATGTCTACTTGTGTCTTTTACTCGTTTTCTCACTGGATAGCTTTATTTAATGTTAAGGGGTTTTTTTTTGGTAATTGCACAAAGTAACACAGTTTACTAAGATAAAACGTATAATTCCATGGGTTTAGTGTCTTCACAGAGTTATGCAACCATCACCATTATGAATGTTTTCACATTTCCAGAATCCCCAAAAGAAATCTTGGACCCAGCCACTCCCACTTCTCCCCTCTCCTGACTTCTGGTAACCACCACTCTACTTTCCGCCTCTATGGCTTTGTCTATTTCGGACACTTCCTGTCAGTGGGGTCCTATAATAGGTGGTCCTGTGTGTCTGGCTTCTCTCAGCATCAGGTTGCCAAGACTTGTTGCTGCTGTAGCAGGCCTTAGCACTCTATTCCCTGGATGGCTGAAAAAATCTGCTGTTTGCAGGCACTCTGTCTTGCTCACCCGCTCTTCATGGACGGCTGCCTGGGTTGTATCCACTTTTAGCTACATGTGATGGTGCTAAGACCATTTGTAAACATAAGTTTGTGTGTGTGTACGTAGGTGTTCATGTCTCTTGGGTGTATAGCTAGAAGTGAAATTGCTGGGTCATAGGGTAACTGTGTATTTATGAAACTGCCAATGAGTTTTTAAAGGGTCTGTACCATTTTCTATTCCACCAGCAGTGGATGAGGCTTCAACTTCTCCACATCCTTGCTAACACTTATTACTGTCTCTTTGGATTACAGCCACCACAGTGTGGTGTGGTGTGAGGTAGTAGCTCATGT